TTTTTTTTTTTTTTTTTTTTTTTTTTTTTTTTTTTTTTTTAAATGGCACTGTAGATCTTTGGTTTGGGGAATGCATCTTTTGGGTTGTCAAAATGGGTCCGGATGGAGTGGTGGTTTGAGTGGTAGGAGGGCTGCACAAGATGACAAACTGGAAACGTGCTATGCCACGGACCAGCTCCGCACCCCTTTAAATGTGCAGGGGGGGGGTACAAATTTATAGAAGGACTTCAAGTGTGCAGCGAGGGAGGGGTAGAAAGGGACTTTAGTACGTGCAGGAAGGGTAGAAGTTTTTAACTGAGCAGAGGGAGGGGTATAAAGGGCTGGCTTTAAATGTGTGTGCACTTTGTGGAGTAGTGTAAACACTGTAAAGGAATTTAAGTAAAGGAAACCTGCGGGCATGCAGCAAGACATGCTGGACACGAAGTGCTATTGTTTGCTATTCATCTTTCAGGGTCGGTAGCGGAACGTTTTGTAAGTTGAAGAAGGCTGTTTGTGAAAACAGCTGGAGATATCAGAAGTGAGAAGACTGACATGAGTAACAGAAAATCAGGTGAAAAACATGATCGCCGGAAGTGCAATGGGGTTCTGCATTCAGTGAATCTACGCAGAGTGAATCGGTCTCTAAGGAAACCCCGGGCACTAGAAAGTACTTTGTGGGCTTATCAGGTCCTTGACTTGCACGGGGAGGGGAATAAGGCCATTACGTAGGGGGTCGAGTGCTTCGTGCACAGGAAGAGAAAGGGAAAGCCATCAGGTAGGCGGTGAGTTGCTGCTCATGGCTTACACGTGCGCTTGTTCGATTCGCTGATGTTCGCAAATGCGAACGCTACCTAGCCTGGAGTGCCTAGGGCTTTTTGCTATGCCCACGTTGACGACCATAATAACGTAGAGGAGGGGAAAGTTCCTCGACATAGCGCCTGATCCCTCACTGTACTTTGGGTCTAACTCTCTACTGTACGTGCTATCACTGCCAATTTCTCGACTATTTTAGCTCTTCCGTCTTCCATCGCTAGTGATGGAGAGACCAGAAAGGGAAAGATAAGTTGTATATGTGCGTGTTGTTTTAAATCGTCTTCAGCGATGATGAAGATTGGTGCTCCAGCCGAAAAAAAGAGTTATACACTCTGCGTGCACAGACATATGGTTTTGGATCGTGCTTATGTGGCCAAAGCGGTGACGGTAAAAGGACATAGCATTTGCTAGGTGGCATCGTGTCGGCTGGAGCTTGTGCGAGGAGAAAAGAATTAGCGTTTTTCACTGAGAGTAGTGAGCAGGGCGGACATCGACATCATTTTGCGTATGAGTCTGGATCGTTATCTCTGCGTAAACAACTGAGATATGTTCAGTGGATGTAAATGGCAATATGACCTCAACAAGGGGGTGGGAGAGAGAGAGAGAGAGAGAGAGAGAGAGAGAGAGAGAGAGAGAGAGAGAGAGAGAGAGAG